CTCATCTTTCAATTTTTCTCACCAGAAGAGAAATCATTAACGTTTTTAGTAACTAAAGCATATTTACAATGATTATATTTAGTATACCATACTCCGATCCGATATACAACAGCTGCAAGCGCGTGGGATAACGTTAATATTAACGCAATTCAGAACAGTTGGAAGAAAACTCAAATACTGTCACAATCCAACATGGATATCGATAATGAAATGGATGTATTCTTTAATTTAATGAAGAGGAAGTTGCCAACGGCGGCGCTAATATTCAACATTTAATTGACCAATTACCTATCTAACAGCCGATCAATTTATCCAAATCGATAATGAGCTCGAATGAAGAGATGATCGAAATGGTAGAGTATCCCGACGAACCTGACGAACCCAATGAACCCGAAGAACCCGAAGAACAGTTTCCTATTGCGGTAAAGCAGTTTACGAGTAGACGTAATTACTAATTACATTAGACAGCAGAACCAAGAGTTTGTTATCACACACGAAGAATTTAAAACGTTGTTAAGTATAAATAAAAAAAAACAAAACACTTTTACATTCAATTAATGCGAAGTGACAAGATAGAATAATTATCTGAACAATTGCCATACTGTATATGATAAAGAAAATTTTGCTATGTTTCACGTGACTCAAATATGACCTGAGATCGCTCGATATAATGAACTTTCGATAATATGAACTTTTTGGTCCGGCCCGACGACTTCATCTTATTATGTTGTCCTCAAACGGTTTATGAGTTTTGATGAAACGCCGGAACTGTTTATTTCCGAGGTAAGCAATAATTGGTAGTAGTAGTATTAATTAATAGCATTAATTAAAGTGATATTTAATATGAAGTTTTGCGTCCTTTTATTAGTTACACCTGAGTGACACAAGACCCAGAAGCAAGAGAAGTACTTGATCGTGATACAATATCGATATGCTAACAACGTGTCTTTATTTGGATTAATAAATTGACGTGGAGGATGAAATTACGCCATTTGCAAGTTATCTGTGTTATATTCATTAGTGCATTGTGATCTCAATAAAAAATATCCAAACGTGTTAACGATTAATTGGGATTTCTTCTAAAGAGATTTTCATTGCCGTACTTGAAGGTGATGACCTAAATTAGTTTTGGGTGTTGTAAATAAGGTCCTCATCTTTTTTTTTTTTTAAAACTTTGTGGCGGGGAGAGTGATTAATGCCAATATTGGAGATGGAACGCGACCCAAGTTATTCATTCTCCTTACGAAAACACGCCCCATATTTCTTTCCATCTTGTGTACATATTTGTATTTACTGTATTATTAACCAAAATTATATCATTCATTCATTCTCTAAATTTCAGATAATTTCGTACTTTCTTTACAATCTCTGTTGCACTTTCTTTTGTCAGCTCATTGCGAAAGAGTAATTTCAATATATCCGCAATCTGACTTGTCTGTTGTCGATATCGAATCTTCTGATCGAGCTCGTGGGATTTCTCTGATGCACGCTCGATTATAAGTTGTGGTAGTTTAGCAAGACGAGCAACATTAATGCTACAGGTAAGTGAGAATGGTTGTTATTTATAATAGTGCACATCCATATTAACGAAGCAAAACACTCACCCATAGCTTTTCATAGCTACACCCTCAGTCAGTTTATATAGAAATGTGATTGTATGAGATCCATCTAAGCGTAAACAATAGATAATCATTAACACAGTCAACATCCTGAATTCCAATGGTACCTCATAGTTCTTACCTTCTCCTTCAGCCTCCAAGAACCCCATATGATAATTCCCTACAATCCCTTGAAATTCATGAACTAGTTTGGCCAGCGATGGATAATGCGTAACAAATAATGTCATGCACTTGATCTTTTCAATAAAGTGTCTCAACACTGCATATGCAATTGCGACTCCATCGTGAGTGCTAGTCCCTCTTCCGAGTTCATCAAGAATAACCAAACTCCTTCTAGTAGCATGTTTCATGATTTGTGACGCCTCGTTTAATTCAACCATAAAGGTACTTTCCCCCGCGAGCATGTTGTCAGACGCACCCATGCGCGTGTAGACGGCATCCAGGATTCCTAGACGAGCTGATGATGCTGGGACGTATGAGCCTATTTGACCCATTATTGCTATCAGTGCTACTTGGCGAATATATGAGCTTTTGCCTTGGTAAAGTGATGGAGAGTTTGTTGTTATATAGACGGCAGCAATAATAAGCAGCATGGATTTAGTCAACTACATACCACCCATGTTTGGACCGGTTAGAATCATTGTTCTCAATCCATTCGTCTATAAAACAATTTCAATTGATATAAATTCAATCTAATCAACGCGTTAGTGTGCTTACAGCAATACTTACACTTAGCTTTACATCGTTGGCAACAAAAGTATTATTTAACTGTTCAATCATCGGATGTCGTCCATTAACCACTTCAATCTCAGCCTCATCTATGAATTCAGGCTTCACATACCCAGGCTGACGAGATACAATGGCGAGAGAAAATAAACAGTCGAGTACAGCGATTTTCTGTATCGCATCTCGCAAGAGTTCATAGTGATCCGATATTTCTCTTACGGATTTATTTAATAAACAGAGAAAAATGAACGTGAAAACGGGTACGTAAAATTTTATGTGCAAGTTATTGAAAGCTATCTTACTGCAAAAAGTTTTTGTATGCTTGATCACACGCAGATGAGAGCCGTTCTCGATGTTGATCGCGTTCTTTGATTTTTTGCATGATTGTTGGGGAATGAAAGCGAGACACTGCTTTCGTACTATTTCAGTGAATGTAAATGAAATTAAATTCATTGTAAAAAGACATCAAATAAACTTGTTTACAACAATGACATACCCACAGACTTTGACCCATGTCTTTGGTACTATGTTTTCTTCAGCCTTCTTCACTTCGATCAGATACTTTGAAAAGTGTTAGCTTAAAAAGATTAGCGAATAACGTGACCATAGTCCTCCGATTATACCTCAATCCCAGCGACAGCCTTATATTCAAACTTTGGCTTTTGCAACAATTGGCGTATTTCCATCATGTGAGTATTAAGATCCTTTTCAACTGCTGATATATTCTAATAGGCAAAGAATGTCGACTGTTGTTAAATACTTTTTCAGCCTGCCAACCACAACAGGTACTTCTCACTCCTATGCTCTCTCTCACCTCCTTATGTTGCTGAATTTCACGGTATTTCTCTGCATTTTTAAACAAATTGAACTTATCCTGTCTTTCAGCTGCCCCAACATTAATCACACTAAGAAAACTATCAATGCATGGCTTAATTTTCGGGAGAAACGTGAATATACTTGTGAGAAGAGGTGAATTCAAGTCAAGAGATGAGAATGGTAGATATGCAGACGAGACACGTTGTAGGGAACTTAGGATTCGAAAAAGTTCCGATGGTGTGCACTAAGGATATAAAGACATGTGAGAAATGGTTTGCCAATAGTAGCGAAGCGAAGAGAACATTGCGCTTAGATCATTAGATACCTTTGCATAGTGTATCTTACACAGCCCCTTCTCCAGATCGGGTAATTTGCCCAATAGCTCTTGCGTCGTACTCAAAACGGGGCTAGTACCATGTAATATCTCCTCTACAGCACCAATTCTCTCGTTCAGTTGGCTACGATCATGATTAAGCTTACGGTTATTACAAATAGCACTCTTTCTACATTGCTTCATTCCGACATTCCACTCTTACCCAATATCAATCAAAGGTCTTCCAATCCACTTTCTCAATAACCTTTTCCCAAATGGAGTACGCGTATGATCTAAAACCCATAACAAAGACCCCTTTTCCCGTAAATCGGTCTGGTTATTGTAAATCTCAAGATTCGATATTGTATTGCCATTGAGAAGAAGTTGATTACGCGCTGAGAAGTGAGTGAAATACTTCGTCAAGCGGAAGACGTGATCAAGAGAAAATTGTTGGAGATAGGAGATTAGCGAGGCTAGGCATGAGCTGGATGAGAAGCGCAAGGTGATATAGGAAGAAAGGACGGGAGAAAAATGCGTAAATGTATGAATATATATGAGTGCGAGCTGTCAACTTGATTGCTTACGTGATTGATCTGGGAAATTGCATTACATCCGTGAAAAGAGTTTCTAATAAAACAGATTAAATCTCCTTAATTTTACGCGGTTTAACTTTGGCAAGTCTAGAAAACAAAATCCTACCTTTAACTACGCTCTCTCCACTCTCGCCCGCCACTCCTTTGTTAATGTCATTCTTGGCGTTTGAATAAAACTCAGACACAAAACTGAATGCTTGTGCATAGCTGAGATGGATATCATCCATTCTTTCTATTCGGATTTTCTCTCCAATACCACCAGCGCTGTCGATCACGTCATAAATTATGTTTGTTATAGTCGTCTTTTATATTAAAATGTCTTGATTTAACGTGAAACGGTAATATCCTAACCTTCGAGACGTGATGTGTGATATAACTTTCTCTGTCTGTTTACTTATTATTTTAGGCAATAATATTTCACATGGTCGAATGTGAAGAAGACGCGTTTCCAGTTCATTTCGCATATGACCATCGTCAAAGTAGTCGTAAATTATATCTCCGGTTGCTATTTGAACTGCCTAGAGAATTTAATTGATTATCCGAAATGGAAACAAAACCTGTGAGGTAAAATCTCATCTACATGCAAAGATCCCCGCTATTTATCACCGCTTATAATAGGGCAAGCGCTCAACAAACTAATTCACTCACCAAAACGCTAATCTTAACCAGTTCATCTAATCCACTTCCCCCACAATGCTCTTCCACTACGGCCATTACATGATCGGACTGTCCGACATTAGAAATTAAGGCGTCCTCGCTTCCCATATCAGAATGTATTCAATCGAGTCAAAGTAATATAGACCAATCATACGACATGTAAACGATATCAGTACTAGTATGATATCACGATCGAATGTAAAAAGGATATCCTCTATGAACGTTCCTCGTGTGTATAGATTAGCCAATTTACGTACAAATGGCGTGTTTCGATTGTCTCCAGCGGCCTTCAATGCTGCTGTTTCCATTTGGCTATTCGATATATGTAATAGCGGGGGCATTAATCACATGAGAATGTGACTTACATTAATATTGACATTGAGTGTGTCTCTTTCTTACCGTACAACGCCAACTTTATATCCAGCATATACAAGTCTAATTTCGGGATTTTCATATCAGCATATACATTCGTGTTAATTATGTAACAATTATCATACGACGAGATACCTTCTCACATGTACATTCAACCGGTGTACTGGAATACTCGCAACGTAGAAATTGTGGTCCATGAAATGGGCTATGCTTAGTATTTTCGATGCTACCTATATCAATTGGCATATCGATCAGAATGTAATGCAAACCATGCAAAAGAAGAAATGACAAAGAGAAATAAGGGCAAGCATCTTACAATTGCATCCTTGTCAAAGAACTTGAATTTGTATCCGACTTCTACTATGAGCAAGGTATCAGGATGATCACGTTTTATTGCAAGATACTGTTTCTCCAGTGGGGTATAAGTGATTGAAGACGATTTAGATGGTGCTCTATCGCTGGGTGTGCGACCTGTCTCTTGCGGCACTCTCTCATCGATTTCCATGGCACTTTGCGCGTGATTACCTAATTTCTTAACGAATCGTTCGTGCAACATTTGTCTCTTGTTTTTATTCTCATCCATATTCACACTTGCTTCTATATTCATCGCATCAGATGGCTTAATCTCGTGTTCGATATTTATGTCATCTTGAATGTCACTACAATCACTACTAATAACTACAATGTCATTATCAGACTGCTTATTCTTTGGTTCCTTTTCACCATTAGAGAAACAATACTTTTCGGCCCAGTCGGACACCTGAGGCTTATCTCCTTCAAAATAACTCGACTTTAAATGCGAGCGAACGCCTTTATTCTCTATTCGTATCTTCTTCTTGGTCTCCGAGTATGTATCTTCATTAGTTGGAACTCTGGACGACGTCTTATCAGCTTCTACTCGCGTACGTTTTCCGTTTTTATCAGCAGATACTTTCCTTACAAAGTTAAGTAGCGTTTGTTGTTTTGGTGATATAGCATTATGCTTTTTTGATTGTTGTTGTCTTCCAGTGGATTTCATGGCTTGTGAAGCACACAATATTATAAATGTTGTAGAAGATGAACGAAGCTAGTGGCTGAGAATGTATCGCGCCAATAAAATGTGTCGCGACTGTGATCACTTGTGTAACAGCTCTAATTATATGGATTAATTCGCGACAAAAATTTTCAAGCGTTTTAGCCACTAAATACAAGTGAAACTCGATAAGACGAAGGTCGGGGGCAGAGCCAATTTATTCGGCTTATCCAGATTTTCGCTTTACCAA